CATGCAGGTACTACAAATACATGTGTGCACACAGGCTCACACCTTCATACACGTGTACAGGGCACACATGCAGGTACTATGAATACATGTGTGCACACAGGCTCACACCTCCATACGCATGTGTACAGGGCACACATGCAGGTACTATGAATACATGTGTGCACACAGGCTCATACCTCCATACRCATGTGTACAGGGCACATATGCAGGTACTATGAATACATGTCTGCACACACATGCATTGCACACATTTGGATGCATACACATACACGTAAAAACACATATACTGTGTATGTCAGTGTACTTGTGTGCGTGCACACACAGCCACGTCCTGAGTCTGACCTATCACAATCTCTCCTAGTTTGAGATTGGGGTTAAAATGCTTTTCCAAGAGATTGATGCTTGTCTTCCTGGGTCACTGTGCATCTTTTCTTGCTTCTGGGTTTTGTCAGAGTTAGAAAGTCCCCTTGAAAGGAGGAAAGCAAGCAGCCTGCCACGTTCAGCTGGGGCTCACAGGTTTGTCCCCAGGCCCCCATCTTGACAAGGTGCCCTGCGTGTGCGAGAGGCTCCCTGAACTCCTGTGCCCCTGCAGCCACCTGCCCTGCACTTCCTCCTGCTGGACGGGCCCGGGGGGTGCCTTCTCTCCCSTTCCCCTCGGGGCGCTGTTACCCCTCCCCCAGTGCCTGCCAGGGCTGTGCTGAAGCGTGTCCTGGGTGCTATCTGCAGAGGCGCTGAGCTGCCCGGAACAGCCCTGCTGTCCCTGCACCTCCTGGAGGGCTCCCTCAAGGTGTCCACGTCCCTCACTTGTCCTAAAGCTCCTCAGTGTTCAGCTGCAATTGTCCCAGGGCCTCTTCGACCACCGGTCTCTGGCTGCTTACACACGTGTGTGTGTACGCTGCACGTGTGTGCACACATGTGGGAAGGGGTGTCCACTTCTGTGCCACCTCACACCGTCCTTTCCCTCAAGGCCTCTGGACGCCCCTGGAGAGCCCGGGCTGTGGCAGAACTCACAGCTGTGCGTGGTGGGCAGCCCTGGCCCCTCTGGCCTTGCCCCAGGGACATGGCTGTGGACGTGTCGTCGCAGGGCTGGCTGCTGACCGTGGGAAGACCTCCATCAACCAGCCACGCTGGCTGTGCTGCATGAGGATGGCCCAGAGAGGGACGCAGTGGAGTTGAGTGCAGCTGGACCCAGGACCAGTGCCTGGGCCAGCAAATCAGAAGTGACACTTGGGCAGGGCTCAGCTGAGCCAGTGCAAGTCACCCAGGACAAAAAGGTGTCACATCAGTRGAAAGAGACAAAGATCTCAGAAATGCTAAGAATGTGAAGCCCCCAGGTCAGTGGGGCTGTTCTCGTGTCACCTGAGTGTCCCAGCTAAACTGGGAGCACTGCTTACTGCTGGACCCTGAAGGTGAGCYGACCCTCCACACCAGTGACCCCTGTGTGGCCCTGGATAGAGGCACAAGGCTGCAGGTGGCAGGCTCCCCCTCAGCCCTCCCCTCTTCCGCTGYGCCTCCCTGCTCCGGGCAGCTCGTCCCCAGCCCTTCCTCCCCTGGCCCCATGCTGGTCTCCCTGCAGCCTCATCAGGACTGGCACGGTCCAAACGCAAGTTCCCCCAGTCGGTGAAACCACTGCCCACGGGAGGCCCCCCACGGGTTCTGCTGGGCCGACTCCCCCAGAGGCTCAGAGAAAGACCTGAAGAAGGGTGAACCTGCAGCCCGCCTCCCCGGCCCTGAGGCTCAGCTGCGGAGCAGAGTGMGACTTCACACTGCTCAGGGCACACGGCACAACCAGCCGTTCCCCGAGAGGCACCCTCACCTTCACGGCCCAGCCAGCCCCAGGCGGCCCCAGGAGGCGCTGGAAGCCAGTGGGGACAGATGGCGCCTCCAGACGGCTCAGTGGGGAAGGTGCCCTCCGCCCCGGGTCCTYGAGGTTGCTCTCCAACAGACCCAGAAACCAAACGCCGGTCCCTCCTGGCTCTGTCGCTTCATCACGCCTGCCCCGCCGTCCCATGCCCCCGAACTGAGTCCAGGGTGCCCTGTCCCCAGACAAACAGGCCACAGCAGCATTGGGCAGTCAGTCTCCTCCTCACGGCCTCCCAGACCACAGATTCATGAGCAAGGGTCACTGGAAGGACTTCAGGAGGTGGGGTCTGGAGCTGCTGCCCCGCCATCCGGGAGGCCCTGGCAGGGACATCTGTGGAAACCCACCCGCAGCACCCAGGTCTGRGACTCAGTCCCCAGCAGCCACCCAGACGGTCTACCACCCCAGATCCTCACAGGACGGGGCACCTACTGCTGTGAGACCCCTTCTCCCTCACACTGCACCCCTGCCCAAGCCCCTCCTGGCCAGAGGGGACACAGGTGCCTCTCCTCCAGGATTGGCTTCACAGACACCTCCCATCCACCTCCCTCCTGACCCTCCAGCTGGCCACACTGCCCTTCTCAGTGGCCCCACCCCCCCCGTGCTCCCAGGGGTCACCAGCCTGCACCCACAGCTCTGCCCTTTAACCCTTCTGGCTGAGCCGGTGGCGTGACTGCTGGAGGCTAAGGACGGCTTGAGGCGCAGAGTGCTCTGGAGCAAGGCACGTGTGCTGCCACCCCAACCTCTCTGCGCACTTGCCTGTGTACATAACGCAYATGCGTGCAAGCGTGTGCACACGTGTGTGTCTACATTGTGCACACATGTGCATGAACACATATGTGAGAACATTGTGTGCACATGTGTGTGAGCCTGTGTGCACATGCACATGAGTGTGCTATACAYACATGTGAAAGCATGTGTGTGCACACCTATGTGATTATGCACAGACATGCACGCATACGTGCACCTGTGCGAGTATGTACACACACTTGGGGAAGCATGTGCATGCACATATGTGGAAGTGTGCATGCATGTGTGTCGTGTGCATGTGTGAGAGTGTATACATGCACATGTGTGTACACACGTGTGTGTGTGCATGGGGGCAGGGGGTTGGCAGCCAGCACACTGTCTTTGCCTCCCTGGCTGGGAGGAACCAGGCAGACTCTAGAGCTGGCAGTGAAATTGATGGCCTGTGGCTGCCTGGGAGACGCAGGACAACTGCCCATCAGTGGAGAAAGAGCAGGTCCAACCCCTGGGGTGTTCTCTGGCTGTCTCTGGAGACTGACACTGTAACCAGCTCAGATAACGATGGAGCCGTGTCTGAGGACCAGATTCCACCATGCAGAGCAGAAGGGAGGCCCTTGGAGAGGAGAGGGTGCAGGTCTGGGATTTGTTCCTCTAGAGGAAAGAAAGAAGCGGAGGGAGACGCAGCAGGACTGGCCCTGAGCTGATAGCATGTCTCGCCTACAGGGGGCCCAGGCTCACTTTGTTCTTGTCTACTTTCACATTTGCTTATGATTTTTACGGTAGAATTCTAAAATATAAAGCCACCAAGAAAGCCGTGTTCCTCCGTATCTGGACACTTAGAGACACTACAGTCCTCCTTATCTGTGTCGGAGACGGCCGCCTGACCTGCTACTAAGGAAGAGCACCGTGGCCGCCCCTGAGGCCTCGTGGGCCCAGCTCTGGGCCTCCTCCCGTGCAGCAGCTCATCTGCACACACACAGAGCACAGCTGAGGTCCTACCCAGTGCCCTGCCGCAGGGTGGACAGGGGATTAGCAGTCAGCATATGTGCTCAACCTGCCCARTTAGCCCAGGACACCTCCCAGAGGCACAGGTGAGACCCTGTCAGGGGAGCTGGCCGAGGACCTGTCTGCAGGAGACCTGTGCCCTGGCAGCTGTGGCCACGTGCAGGTCCACCTTACCCTGCGAGTTCCACATTTTTTTTGGCAAAGCCAGACTGAGCAGGAAGAAACTGCTCCTATCTGCAGGTGATGATCTGGAGAACAGGAATCCCTAGGGATCCCTGGAAAGCCATTGGAAGCCACAGAGTTCAACAGGACGAACCCACGAGACCCAGAGGCGAGGAATGATCCAAGCATGAAATGAAGAAGGCGATATCCTTCACGTACACTTGAAGAGACTCAGACCACTGGGGAGAGATCTAGCAAAATTTAACTTGCACTCCAAAAACAACAGAAAATTTTTTAAAGAAACTAAAAGCCTAAACAAATGGGAAATGTCTGGTGTTCCCACATGGCTACCAGGGGACAGTCCTCACGTCCACCTCCAGGTCCAGCACTGTCCCTAGGAACCCTGGTGGGCTCCCTGCAGAGGTCAGCCAGTTGATTCTGTGCCCATTGGAACCCTCAGGGAGCAGCTTCACCAAGAGGATCCTGACCAGGAAGACTGGAGCCAGAGGGCGCAACCTCTGCGTCTCACACTCACCACCAAGCTYGTCCTCCAGCCTGGCGCTGCCCGAGGCCTGAGTACGTGTGCACGGGAGGAGTGAGAGCCCAGAGCTGAACCCTCCATTCATGATCTGCTGCTCTTGACCAGAGAGAAAGAACACAAAAGAGTGGGCGTCCATCCTCCCTCTGCCACGTCCAGATCCCCACTCAGTGTGGGTCAGGGCCTCAGCGGAGCCTGCAGACTAGGACATCTCTAAGAACCCGCAGGCCTGGACTTCCCAGTGCCTCTGGGGATGGTACCAAAAGCGTGAACAAGAAAAGAAAAAATAGATGAATCAGACTTCGCCAAAATTAAAGAAGGACGCCATCCAGACCTGGAGCCCAGCCGCTGGGTGGAACAGGAGGCCACCACTCTCACACCTGGTCAGGGCCTAGATCTGGCCACTCCAGATGGAAAGAAAGCCACCCACACCAAGGGCAGGCGGCCTGCAGGACGTCTCTCCAGAACCCAGCCCAGGAGAGAGTCGTTGGAGCATCGGGGACACCAAGCCAGAGGCTTCCCACCGCTCCCGCAGCCAGGACAGGGAGGCAGGGCAGGGCGGCCCTGGGGAGGGCAGCGGGCAGGCTGGGGCCCTGCCCCGCCTGAGGAGTGCCCAACGGGGCGGCCCTTGGAAAACCGTCTGGCCGTGCCCCCGCCACTGAGGATGGCTCACTACGGGACCTGGACATCCTGGCCATGGTGTCCACCCCGGGGAAAAGCACATACATACCCCTGAGATGTGCACTTAGGCAACCGTGAAGTCCCCCACCTGGCCAGGGGACACAACCACTGGGACATGCACACAGGGGACAGTACTCATCCTTAAAGGGAAAGGGAATTCTGACACCTATTACAGCCTGGGGGGCCTCAACACCACAGCATGGGGGGCCTTGACACCACAGCATGGGGGGCCTTGACACCACAGCATGGGGGGCCTCAACACCACAGCATGGGGGTTCCATACAACAGCACGTGGGGGGCCTTGACACCACAGCGTGGGGGGCCTCAACACCACAGCGTGGGGGGCCTCAACACCACAGCATGGGGATTTCATATAAGGGGGGGGAGCCTTCAGGAGCTGGTGTGCTAACCACGGAGGTGGGGGGGAGGCTTGAAACCACAGCTGTGGGCCTTGAGAACATTATGCAAACGCCACACCGCACACTGCACACTAAGTCACAGTGACGTGAAAACCCAGGGTAGGCGGCCCCAGGTGGTCAGCGGGTGCTAGGGCCAGGTGGTGTGGGCAGAACCTGAAGGCTTCAGGTTCTTGTTGGCATGAAGATGCTCCAGTGATGGCGTGGGATGTGCCTATGKCTCAGAGGGCAGTAGGGACCGTGGAGGTGGAGTGGGTGCATTTATGGGTTATTTCTCATAAAGAGGCTTTTAAAAAATGGRAGCAAAGAAACTGGCCTTGGAGACAGTGCAGGCCCCACAGCCAGTGTGCTGCTCTGCCTCACTCGGACTAAGGCACGGGGCACAGGGCTGCTGTACAGGGGACCTCTCATCAGAACCCAGCTGGGACCTCCCGGGGCCAGAGCTGCCCCAGTCCCCGGGAAGGTGTGCATGCCTTACCATCTGTCTTCTGTTCTCCACCAGGTTGATGCCAAGGATTCCCAGGAAAGAGCCAAAGCCCAGCTGAGAGCCAAGAAAAAGCAAGAGAGAAGCTCCGGTCAGCCTCATTCAATGTGCAGGCTGTGCCACCCAGACCCCTGGCCTGCACCCGGGGCAGAGGGCAGCCACCCCTCCCTCCAGAGCCTGCAGCTTGCTCACAGCTCACAGGTTGGAGCGGCATGACCATGTGGAGAGAAGGTCAGGCTACTCTGGACCCCTTGGACAGCTTTGGTGGACAGCCTCTGTCTAACCTGGCACTTCTGTGGCCACTGGATAAATGCACACTGACCCTGCAGACCTTGGTCTCCATGGCACCTGAGGCTGGAAGGAGGCAGCAGCATCTAATCTTGGGGTGGCTCCCCCGCTTTGCAGTTCCACAGCCTTCSGCCCCTGTCTGCTCCGGGACTGACCACAGGAGCCTTGTGGTCTCTGCTCAGAGGGACCTGTCCCTGSGGAGCCTTCAGGAGCTGGTGTGCTAACGGCATTGACTGCGTCCGGTACCTGGGACAGGCCTCGCGCGMGGCTCAGTGGGAGCCAGCTCCTTGCCCCTCAGAGCAGAAGGCCTGCCTGCGCTGAAGCTGACTTCCTTCTGGTCAGTACAGAGTGGGTTCATGCCCAGGACGTGTGCGGCTGGCAGAGTGAAGTTGGGAAATGCCCACTAGAGTTACGAATGCAACTCCAGGGAGGAAAACTTTAAATTAGTGAAACTTGCGGAGAAACAAAAAACTCCACCATGCGAGCTGTCATGGTGTCTGCAAAAACCTTGGGATGGTGCATGTTCACAGCCACTGGCCCTGACTTCCAGGGCCCAAGGGAACAGGACAGAGGCTGGAAGAGGGCCCGTGTGCAGGACCTCGTGAGATTTCACCTGTAAGAGCTTGCTGTGTTGACAATGGTACAGGCACAGTCCTGAACAATGCACAGGGGACACAGGTGCACAGGGGAGGCAGGTGCACAGGGGAGGCAAGTGCACAGGGGTAACGGATGCACAGGGGACACGGATGCACAGGAAGATGCAAGTGCACAGGGGACACAGGTGCACAGGGGACACGGATGCACAGGGGACATGGATGCACAGGGGACACAGTACACAGGGGACATGGATGCACAGGAAGATGCAGGGGACATGGATGCACAAGGGACACAGTGCACAGAGGACACGGATACACAGGGGACACAGGTGCAGAGGGGACATGGATGCACAGGGGACACAGGTGCACAGGGGACATGGATGCACAGGAAGATGCAAGTGCACAGGGGACACAGGTGCACTGGGGACACAGATGCACAGGGGATGTAGGTACACAGGGGACACGGATGCATAGGAAGATGCAAGTGCACAGGGGACTTGGATGCACAGGGGACAGAGGTGCACAGGGGTCGCAGGTGCAGGGGACATGGGTTCACAGGGAACACAGGTGCACTGGGGACACAGATGCACAGGGGATGTAGGTACACAGGGGACACGGATGCA